AACAGACAGAGCTCATGATATATGAGAATATCCCATCATGCCTATTTTAATTCTTGATTAAAGGATTTTCATTACATTATCAAACTGATTATATAAGTTTTACGCCTATATAACATAAGCTTATACCTATATAATTAATCAAACAAGTCCTCTTTTTCCTATAACACACTATGCACGATGGCAAACGATATAGGAGACAGACTCTACTTTTCAGAAAGAAAGTTTTTTTTTTAAAAAAAAAAAATGTACAAAATAAATAATCTTAAATAAAATAGTGGTTAAATTGACTTTTTAGAAATTAATAATAGGCCTTATAGCCTTATAATATACGCGATCATTTAATATACACGATTATTTAATCAGACAATTTATTAAATTTGGTATTACATAAACTTAATCAACCTGATAATTGTTTAGTCTCTTTATAGGTGGATATTTCTTAAATTATCACCTGAACTTTTCAATTTTTTGCAGAATTGAAAATGGAAACCAGAAAAGTATTCTGATTCAGAATTTTTTTTTAAGAAATGTGTTTGTTATTTTGTAAATTACCAGTTAGAATTGGCTTAAACTTTAAAGTTCTTACTTACGCAAATATTACGCAAATATATTTTTTTGATCTGTATAAGAACGTCAAATATAATAACCATTCCATTTTTAACAAAATAACAATTACTTTTTAAACTTGAAAATGTTATATCTTAGACAAACATTTTATAGTTTTATACATCCATTTTATTTTATATTATTATCACTCGACATTATGGTATAATGTTTAGAATAATGATGTTTCATATTATCATTTACTTGTAAAATTTACTAAATTTATTCAATGTAATATTGTTATAAAATGCATAATTTTATAAAAAAATTAGAATATTTGCTAAGATTTATAACTATGTATAATTTAATATTATTATTAATAACTATGATTAAAGGATATGAAGTATTTTAGTATAAATAAAATAACTTACCGATAAAGAATCAACCATCTTATTTCTGCTCCTAGAAGGTATCATTAATTCTTTTGTTATATTATCTAATTCTTTAATGGCGGGTAAATTTTTTCCATTTCACGAAACCTTAAAGGTTTCTCTTACGAAATTAACTAAGATATCGAACCCTCCATTTCTTGTTTATTCTGAAATATTAACAGCTACAAGCTGTCAGCTTAGAATCTTTTAGACAAATTCTTCATCAACATAATCTATAAGTTCCTTTTGAGATAAACTTCCGGTAGATGCTCTATAATTAAATTAATAATTAATACAAACAGTACTATTTAGTTAGCTACGAAACAATTAAATAAATACCTGTTTTTTCGTATTTCTTTAAATTCTTTTACAGAAGTTAAAATAATTTGATTAAACTTGTTTCTGAAATCTATAAAAAATTTTCAGGTTTTTTCGAGATACTAGCTTTTAGCTTCATTTGAGTGTATTTTAATTTTGAAAATTTTTGTTATTAACTCATCAAAAACTTCATCACGTAGACTTCTCGCACGTAAAAAAAGACACTTGACACTTTCGTCCCATAGACGAATTTTATCCTAAAATATTAAAAATACATTATTTAAAAGATTTAGACATAATAAAATCATGTTAATTTAATACTTACGTTCGTAATTTTAATGAATGATGAGATAGCAACATCGTTTTGTTCATTTCTAGTGCCAATCTTAAAATTTCTGGATGGTTGACGAGCCAAGCAACTATTTCTAAATTTGATTTTAATTGAAATACTTCAGGTTTTTTATGATCTTCCGTCTTACCCACATTATCATTATCATCATCATCATTATCATCATCATCATCATCATCATCATTACTACTTTTTTCATTTACTACTACAACTTCTTTATTAGCAGATTCAGCAGCTTCTTTATTACTATGGTTTTTACTTTTTTTTATCAACTGATTGGCCTTCTCAATGTTAATATCTCTTCTTTTTTTTGTAATTTGTTTTTTTCAATCCTATTATACATATTTTTGGTATTTATTAATTATTCTTCTTATATATAACTATATAAGCAAAACTTACTATAAATTTACAATAGAGTTATATCTACATACCTCCTTCAACTTCCATTTCTTGATTATCATCAGACGATTTATTAGGTTATTTACGTTTAGTCGTCATAATATAAAAAAAAAATATGAGCGAAAAAAAGTGGAACAACCTTTTTGTTTAAAAGTAGGTGATATATATCGAGAAAATATGAATGAACAAAAAAAGTAGAGCAACTTTCTTGCTCAAAAAAGTAGGTGATAAATATCGAATGAACAAAAAAAAGGGCGAGGTTATCATGATATAATTTTGAGATTTTAGCTATTGTAATTATGATTGTAGTATTTAATTGGAAAATATACATGATCTTAATTTCATTGTGTATCTTGTAGAATGCAGGATCAGTTAAAAATATCAGGAGATGGGAAAACTAAAAATTATGATTTCTAGAAGATCGAAAATTAAATTTAATTTATATAAATAATTTGTATTTCATTTAATAATAAAAGTGAATACTAGACACTTTTTTTATATAGAAGATTACTTCAAATCAAATTTTTACAGTTCAAATCTTTATGATCTGTTATTGCGTATTTATAATTCAATTTCATAAATTTTATTATAATTTTTTAGGCTATATAAGGAGTGAGAAGAAAAATATTAGAAGAAAGGAGTGAGAAGAAATTAATCATTTGAAGTATCATTTTATGTGATACAATGATATGCACCAAACTCAAAAAGTATAGCCATTATAGCTACTATTATCATTCAGCAATGCAGATTATTGATAATTGCATTAAATTACGTAATGTTAATGATACTATTATTGCATAAGATATTTCCAAATAACCCAATCAAACCTTTGTACTCATATGTGACTGATTACTAAATTTGTGAAAAGACAAGACAACTTTTTAACATATGATTTTTTGTATATTATTGTACAATTATGAAAAGAAAGTCGTGATTCAATAATAGCAGTTTATAGATTATGTAAAGCTACAAAATTTAAGTAAATGAATTTACATTTCAATAGTACCTTTAAATAGAAATTTATTATAAACTTAACTGCTAAAGAAAGAGAAATTTTTTAAATGATAAATGGATAAAACATAGTACAGTTTGATGGTTGTTAGAATACTCTCAAAATAATTTTCATGATTAATTGTGAAGGTTATAATTAAAATATTCCAATTGAAATAATACAGTAACGATCTGCTTATTTGCTTATTTGCTTATTTAATGATTTAGCATATTTTATTATTTTATGTTTAATTTAAGCAGTAAAGTAAATAGTATATAAATTTTTTTCCAAATAATGAAAGATACATCGTTTAGAAAATAAAAAAATTGAATGTTGTACAGCAATATAATATTAAGCAAAAAATTAAATATTGTACAGCAATATAATATTAAGCAAAATTAAATATTGTACAGACATCAATATAACAAAATAGTAATTATGATTTGAAAGATTTCAATTTCATATGAAGTAAGGTGAGCGTAAATGGAGAGGCGAAATTATTCAATTTCAATGATTTTATAATATAAAGGTGAGCCTTGTAAATGGTAAGGTGTAGGTGATGAGTGACGGAGAGGTGTAGGTGATGAGTGACGGAGAAATGTAGGTGATTATGATGAGTGTGAACGGAGAGGTGATATAGGTGAGCATATTGGTAAATGTAGTGGTGAGGATGACGGAGTTGTTGTATGGCTCATTGTGTTGATTTTGTGAGCAATATCATAAATTGTTTCTAAATAAATAATCAGATTAATTTATGAATTAAATAAAAAAAAATAAAATATTTACGTGTTTTTCAATATTTACGTCATTTTTCCCAAAAACGTTCACTGAATTTCTTGTAGTACTTCACTCCTAGAGCACTTCTCCTTCCCTTTGGCTGACCATCGATATATAATTGCATTTTCTAATAAAATTATATTAGTACTATTTAATATACTAAAATAGTAGTTGAACTTAAAATAATGTTTATATACTTTATAAGCTCGCACTAAGCCATTAAATTTTTCTTTACATTGCCTCCCGTATATGTAATTCTGAATTCAAGGTTTATTTTGCTTGCTAGCCCTTTCCAAAAATTATGCTTCATATTACCACTAAGTTTGTGAAAATTATCATTTTCATTTTTTCTTTCATTAATTAAAACTCGCAATTGTCTATCAGTCCACATGTTATTAAAGAATTAATGAAATATTAATGAAAATAAAAGAATTAATGAAATGAAAGAATTTTGAAAAGGAGTGGAAAAAAAAATCTGTGTAGAAAAAATAAAATCAAATTACGCCTACAATCTATGAACACAAGAATTAATGAAATATTAATGAAAACGAAAGAATTAATGAAACAAAAGAAGTGGGAAAAAAAAAATCCATGTAAAAAAAATAAAATCAAATTATTATGATGAATACAAGAATTAATGAAATATTAACAGTCACTGGTCATTTCAGCAAAATTAGTGGTGAGATTTTTTGTACTATGATATTATAATAAAAATTCTTAATATGATACAGTCTTTAGGTATATAATATTTATTTAATATTTAAATTCGGCTAAATTAGTTTGATTAGTTAAAATTCATTAATTTTTAAATTATAATTCTGGCCAAAATTTTCTTAATTCCGGCCAGATTCATAATGCCGGCCTAAATTTTGTTAAAATCGGAATTTTTAGGTCAAAGGTAACACCATATTTATGCAATGTAACACTTTTTCTAACAATAGTAAACATGTTCGTTCAAGGTTTGAAAAATATTTTTAAACCTTTTAAAAGTCAAAAACTTCACTTTATTCAGTTACATCTGGCCAGTGAAGGTTGTCAATTATATGGTTATTTTGATATAGCAATCTAATAAAGTATTAAGAAAACTTTTTTAACTTTTTTCTTTTGCTTATTTTTTTTAAATATATTATAAATATCTTTTATTTTAACGTTACTTTAGATATAAAAAAAACATTTTACTTATTCATATTATACTATTTGTATTTATGGTTTAACAAGGTAAGCAAACCTAATATCCAATTTGAATTTTTCTATAAATAAATAATTTTTGCTTTATTTTCTTGTTAAATGAACTAAAATTTAAAAATTTTAAAGTTTTTTTTTAATAAATTACAAAAATTTACATGATTACTACAATACCAATATTTAAGCATTAAAGGTCTAATGTAGATAAACAAAAAAACATTATATTTTGACTAGTTTTGCGATTTAAAATTATTTATGACACCCAAATAGACCTAATAATATTATTCTAATAAAAAAAAAAATTCTTATTAGCGTCCTAATTAAAAAATTTTAACAAAATTTATAAATAACAAAAAATCTGGTATAATAATCACCCTTCTAAGCTTAACAAAAGTTGTTTGTTTCGCCATATTATGGCTAGAAATAAAATAATTAATGGTTAAAAAAAGCTTTTGCTAAAAGTTTTATTGAAATCAAAAAAATTTTTTTTTATTATAAAAATTAACTTTTTGCAGTTTACACAAAAACTACCTAAATAACTACCTTTTTTAACTTAGTAAATCTTTTTCTTCTCGTAAAATTACATATATTTTTATTGTTTAAACTGTATTTTACATCTACTTTTAAGTTGCATCTGGAGGAAAACTTCATTTTTGAGACGAATTTTCTTGTATATGCAAAAAAAAAAATTATTATTACTAAAGAGGAAATGATGATGAAAATTTATAATACACATGACGAACTATTAATTTACTTAATTTGTATAAGCGTTGTATTAAGAATTTCTTTTTTTAGCTACATGATGAAATATTCAATTATGGTTACACAAAATTATTTTAATTAATGATCAGCAAGTGATCTGAAATGACCGCTGACTGTTAATGAAAACGAAAGAATTAATAAAACGAAAGAATTTTGTAAAAGGAAAAAAAAAATCCGTGTAAAAAAAATAAAATCAAATTATTACGCCTACAATCTATGAACACAATAAGAAATTGCAATGATGTGGAATAAATAGTTTAAACAAATTTGTTAANCTACAATCTATGAACACAATAAGAAATTGCAATGATGTGGAATAAATAGTTTAAACAAATTTGTTAAACAAATTTGGATAAGCCATGGGTATGCCGTGGGTGTGTCGCAGGTGTATCGTGGGTGTCTTTATGATAAATTAAAGCATTTACCGTAGGTAAGTCGTAGGTCATTTGAGGATTTACTATAGAATAATAAAGATGTTTTTATACACATAATTATCTTTTATGGTGGTTGATTTAGAGGTTCAATCGGAGAAGTTTTACCACAACATTTATTTTATTTTGACAATGGCTTAAAATTAATGAAAATTGATTTAATTGGTCTGCTAATAACAATCATGATGTTTAACGAATTTGTTTTATTAGTTTTGATGTTCAAAAAATATAATCGTAAATTAAATCATACTTTATCTATTATTTTATTAAATCGTAAACTTTAATACTCTACTACTAAATTAACTAAATTATTGTTTTACGAGCATTTTCTATTTTATTAAGTATAGTTTTTCTGAGTCAACCACCAGCGCAGAAAAAAATCTTGGAAAAATTTCAGAAAAATTCCGGTTAAATATAAAAATTCTGGAAATTTATTTTTTCAACCGGTAAGAAGTTTAATTATAATCGTGCATACACAATATAGAGTAACCAGAAAAGACGTACTGGCTTTAAATAATTATATTGTAATAAACTACAAATAATAAATAATAAAATAAAGATAAAAAACTTTTTTGCGATATAAATTTATTAAATAAAATTTCCGGTATTTACAAAATATTCCAGAACAATTCTGGGATTATAAGATTTTACCAGTTTTATCAGAAATTTACCGGAAAAACCAGTTAAATTATAATGGATTTTCCACGCTGTCAATCACTATTTTTTTATAATCCTGCATATGAATTTACAGGTCAAAAACTTCGCAATTTAATTAGTTTAATTTTCAAGTTTTTTGACGGATTCGTGAGATTTAAGCAAGTATGAAATAAATTTTTTTTATACTAATTGAATTTTATGTATTGATTAACGATAAAAAAAGCATGTGCTACTTGATTTTGTATACGATTGTGTTACACTTTTTAATTGTATTACACTTTTTCAAAACTTCAATCAGAAACTATAGCCAAATCGGCAATAATTTTAACCAAATTGACCTTGAGTTTTTTGGTTTTTTTGTCGATACGCTAATAATATAAAAGGTATTAAGGTATTTAATAAATAATTTTTATAAAGATTTATTGAATTTTATAAAATTCTAAATTAAATTAAGGATTTAAATTGTTAAAAGATGAGAAGACGATATAGTCACAACAAACCAATAAAGCCAATTCGAATTTGAAATCAGTTTTCTTACAGCAAACCTAATGAGACAACAGATTCTGACGAGAGAGTGGCAATTCGTTCACCTGTACATTCACCTGATAATAATAACAATAACATGGACTTTCAGTATGATCATAAAGATGATTTAAGTTTTCAAGATATTAATGATGACAATAATGCATATGGATCAATTAATCCTCAAGACTATAATGATGAGATGATATTTTCGCAAGATAATGTCAATTCATCTGATACTGAAGAGGAAGAAGAAAGTGATAACGAATACAATTATGAAGAGAAGGAAGAGAAGGAAGATAATAATGAAAATAATGACGAAGAGGAGGAAAAGGAAGGTAACAATGATGATAATAATAATCAAGTGGAAGAGGAACATAATAACGATGAAGAAAAACGTAATAATGAAAAAAAAGAAATACATCAAATCATTGAAATATTAGATGAAGACAAGATACCGTTCTGCAATGATGAATTTGCACTGTACTTTAATAATTATACAACTATGGCATTATTTTGCTAGTTTCAGAAGCATAAAGTTTCTATGAAAGTATATGAAGATCTTATCAATCACTGGTCGAAATAAAAACTTTTGGTCATGTGACAAATCGGCTGATCTGTCACACATTTCGGCCAAATTTTGGAAATTATTAAAAATTGGCCAAATTTCGACATATATGATTTATGGTCGATTTATTGAATTATTTAATCAAACGTTATGCATTACGTGTTACGCATATTAAAAGTTTAAAAAAGGATCATCCTTTTTTAAACTTTTTTTAATTTTTTTCTTCCCCTCCCCTTTCCTTTCCTTCCTTCCCCTTCCCCCTTTCACTTTTTTTACTTTTTTTTTATAGGTTCGGCTTTTGGGTGGGCTTCTGAAGTACAGAAACTCCAAAGATTCGTAAGTACGAATACTTTGGAGTTTATTTTATTTTTTTTTAATACAAACGGTTACTAACCGTTCTTTTTTCTTTCTTTTTTTTTAGGTTCGGCCGTTCGGGTAGGCTTCCGAAGTACAGAAACTCCAAAGATTTGTAAGTACAAATACTTTAGAATTTATTTTATTTTTTTTTAATATGAACGGTTACTAACCGTTCTTTTTTCTTTCTTTTTTTTTAGGTTCGGCCGTTTGGGTGACTTCCGAAGAATGGAAAAAACCAAGTTTCGTAAGTTCAGAACTTGGTTTATTTTTTTTTAATATTATGAACGGTTATTAACCGTTCTTTTTCTTTTATTTTTTATAGGTTCGGCGTCTCGGGTAGGGCTTCCGAGTTCCGAAGAACGAAAAAAACCAAGATTCGTAAGTAATCTTGGTTTTAATTTTTTTTGTTTTTTTTAATTTTATTAATGAACGGTTACTAATAACCGTTCCTTTCTTTATTTTTTAGGTTCGGGTGGGCTTCCGAAAAACGAAAACCCAAAGGTAAAGATTGTCTCTTATACACATCTTGACCGCTGACTGTTAATGAAAA